TGGGTCCTACAGGCCAGACCGTTGTTTTTAGAGTGCCCAGCTCTCCAACATTTGGGGGGAATCTGGCATGGGCAGACCGCAGGCAGAGCTGGGAGGGAGAAGTCCCACGGTGTCCTTGCTGTCCCCCTAGTCCCGAGGCCCGGCGGGTGCTGTCCTGGCTCTCTGCCCCTCTCTCAGGCCCTGTCCCTTGCTTCAGTCCCCGGTGGGACGGGGGAGGGGAGGGTGGGGCCGGAGAGCTTGGTTCCTGCTGAGACTGTACCTTCCCAGCCCACGGCCCACCCAGGCTGAGTCAGGGCCGGGCGGGAGCCAGGGGGGTGGCAGGTTTCCCAGGGCCAGCCCGGGCGGTGTCCACATTCCTCACAAGCAGGGTGCGTCGGGGTTTGGCCAAGCCAGGTGTTCTGGGCTCCGCCCCGGCCTCTGCCTGCCAGCTCAGCGCCCCGGCCTTGGCCTTGTATGGACCCTGCCTGGCAGCCGCCTAGAACGGGGCGTGGGAACTGCTTACCTTGCACATCCTTGCTGGGTGGGGTGCAGGCTGGCTGGGGGGAAGCCTACTGGAGCCCCAGCTGCCACCATGGCCTGGGCAGCTGGGGTGTCCACCACTCAGCCCCTCGTCACGCCCCTTGGCCTCTGCGCTTGGAGAGCTGGGGGCTGAGGCTTACACTGGTGTGTGGTTTGGGCCTTGGCCTCGCTCGTGGCTCAGCAAGGACTGGAAGGAAGAGCGAAGGGTGTTCTGACAGCTGGGAGGTGGTGAGGGCCCCCCAAGGCCAGGAAGCAGTGAGTGGGGGGCACTTCTGGTTTGTAGCCCCCCAGTCTCTAGAGGAGGCCTTTGTCCGCACCAGCTTGGAGACCTGGGTGCCAGGTGGGGCCTGGGGCAGAGGCTCAGAGTGGGGCCATGTGCCCACAGGGGGCTGCAGCTCTGGGGCCTGCCAACAGCTTGCCACCTTCCTTGTTTCCTCCACGGCCCGGCCGGGCTCTCTGCATGGCAGGGGGCTGTGAGGGATTCATGGAGTGTTCCGTCAGGGTCAGTCCCCACCACTCCCTTGTGAGACGCTCCCACAATCCATCTCCTCTCTCTGGCTTCTCCTGTCACAGGAAGACAGAGCCCCCCACTCTATCGAGGCCCCTGGGCTCTTGGTGGGTGAACTGTGACCTTGAGGCTGAGACCTGAGATGGGCTGTCCCCGGACCCTACCCCTTCCGCGTGGGGGGTCCTTCCCCCCAGGTCTGCAGCTTCCCCATCAGTCTCTGCGGGTCAGGCCCAGCTCCTGGCTGGGGCTGGGGGAGATAACCTTAAGTCTGGGGTCTGGAGACCCTGACCGTAGTTGCCCTGTCTCCTCTGAGGGAGGCTGGTAGAGCTAGAGTTTGATTCACTCCGGTGAATGGCGGCCGGGCGCCCCTTGCCTGCCTGTCACCCCTTGCCTGCCTGTCACCCAGTTCTGCGGCCTCAGCAGTTCTGAGCCCAGCCCATGGGGCCTGGGCTGGCACCCTCCGTCATGTCCCTGCAGCAAGCAGGGCTGGGCTGTGTCCCGGGCAGGCCCGGCGTAGCTTGGGCTGCAGAAACCACTTCCCATGCCTTGGTGGGAACCGACGGCCCTGGCCCCGGGCCCAGGGTGGGCGTGGGAATTCTGTCCTGCATGAAAGGTCGGGGAGGGTGACCAGGGCTGTGGGAGAAGAGGCAGGGGATGAGCTGAGATGTCAGCTGGACCCCCGGAGAGGCAGCAGGCTGAGTGCCAGGCAACTCAGGGGGCTGGGCCAGGGGAGGCGGAGCAGGTGGGCGCACGCAGCCCCCTCCCTAGCTAGCCCATCGCCGAGCACCTCTGGATGAAAGGCTTCCCCTTTCCAGCTGCCTTTGGCTGAGCCCTAGGGCTGGCTTTCTGGGTGCCCCCGTTCCTGGGGACCCTCTAGGGACTTCAGCTGCTTTTCTTCCTCCCCTGCCCAGGGCATTGTGGCCGGAGGGCAGCACTTTGCCCCAGGGTAAGAGTGGGGTGCTGTTTGCAGTGGAAGGAAGCACCTCAGCTCCTGAAAGCCACTCTGTGTCCTGGTGTCTTTGAGCTAAGGATGGTTCAGTGTCTGAACGCGTGCACATGTGTGTGTGCGTGCATGTGTGTGCATATGTTTGTATCAGGGGGAGGCAGTTTTCCCAGCGGAGGTGGACTTGTGCACATTCAGACCAGGGTCCCTCTAGTTGGATTCTGAACCCTGAAGGATTCTGGGAGTTGGCACTGAGAACTGGGCCCCAGGGCAGCCTGGGAAATCGTGGGAACAGGTGAGAACAGGCTGGAAGGGTGCGGCAGCAGCTGGAATGTGAGGCCTGTGAGGCCTGGAGCAGCCCCGCCCTCCCTCATGCAGGAATGGGCATGAGCTGGGGAGCCAGGACCCCGCGCCCTCCTGGTGCTGTCCACAGCTCTGCTCCGCTGGGCCCCTAGCCTCTGCTCCTCCACCATGGGGTGCCCCCACACCCCCTCACTCCTTGCTGGCCTAGAGCCTGCGGGCTGGCTGCGCCAGGCTGCTGAGGAGAAGCTGGCAACTTCTCCTGAAGGTTCCTGGGTTTTTGGTTGGCCTGTTTGCTTCTGACCCTCTGCACGGACAGACTCTGTCACTCTGGGGGGACATGTTCTGATGACTTAGGACAGCACAGAGTCTACCCGTGGAGGCTTTCCTGAGCCAGTGGATAGAGTTTCTTTTTCAAAAACTTTTCTGGCTGGGCTATACGGCATGTGGGATCTTGGTTCCCTGACCAGGGATTAAACCCTCGCCCCCTGCATTGGAAGCACGGAGTCTTAACCACTGGACCACCAGGGAAGTCCCTGGATGGGTTTCCGCGCCAGCTCTGCTCCTGGGCTGGGTGCTGAGGGCACCAGCTTCTCCTGGAGCCTCTGGACTCACTGTCAGCCTCTGCAGAGCAGCTTTGTCCTTGCCTGTCCTGCACGATTGACCAGGACACCCCGTGGCCATGCTCCCCAGCAGGGTACATCGGCCCTTCCCCTGTGGGCCCCTGCCAGCGTCTCCAAGCTCAGGTCCCATCTCTGCCTCCCCAGCTGACTCCCTCCATCCAGGACATCTCACTTCCCTGAGGGTACGAGGCCACGGTGTGTCCTGGCCTTTGCATGTGCCAATCACTTTGCATAGGCCAGTGTCTACCTATGACCCTCATGTAGACAAGTCCCTGCTCAGACCCCCCCCACAGCTGTCCTGCCCCTCTAAGGTGCTTCCACAGCCCCAGCTGCTCAGCCAGCTTGTGATGTCCAGTGTCTCCCTTGGAGACAGAGTTCCCTAAGACCAGGGCCCATTGTCACATGTGTCCCCTGGCACGTCCCCAGGCCCTCTCTCACAGAGATGACGGAGTCAGAGAGTGAAATAGTGAAGGGTGCAGGCAGCTTGGGGAATTCCTCTGAGGCCCTCGGACTTGCAAACGGCTGTCATGTGATCTTGGCCCTGCTTCTGCTCCCTCCAGTCTGAGGGGAAACATCCCTCTACCATGCGACTGGGGTCTCCTGGGACGATTCCAGAACTCTCTCTTGAGATCAAGGCGCAAGCTCCTGACCCCACCCCGGGTGGGGACTCAAGGCTAATGGGCCAGTGTGCCTGGCAATGACTGCTTTATGTGAGTGGGTGAATACAGTACAAGCAGAGAGAGGCTGTGTGAGTGTGCACAAGTGTGAAAGTGTGCATGAGTGTGTCCACAAGTGGGTAAATGTGTGAGCATGAGTAGTGAATGTGAATCAGTGTGTGAGGCTGGGAGCGTCTGTATGCATGTGTGAGAGTGTGGATACGAGTTGATTGTGCATGGGTGTGTCGGCATGAGGGTGTGTAAGTCTGTGAGTGTGAATGCATGTGAGTCTGTGAATGTGCATGTGAGCTGATTATGAGTGTGGGGTCTGTGAATGTGTATATATTGTGTGTGAGTGTGTATGGATCTATGAGTGTGTGAGTTCGTGTGCATCTGTGGATTATGAATGGGTGAGTCTAGGAGTGTGAGTGTGACTATGTGAAAGCTAAGTGGGTAATGTGTGAAGGTGAGAACCTGGGTGTGTGTATGTGGATGTGCCTGAGTGTAAGAGTTTATGAACATGTGTGAGTGTGTGAATCTGTGGTGAGAAGTTGTGTGAATGGGAGAGTGAACATGTGGGAGAGTGTAAATGTATGAGTGCATGAGTTTGTGACTATGTCAGTCTATGTGTGTGTCAGTCTGAGCATGTGACTACGGGTGTGTGAATGCATGTGTGAACCATGTGTGAACGTGTGGTTTATCTGGGAGGATGGTGAGAGGGGACCTGCAGCGGTAGGTAGGAGAAACTTGCCTCCTCTTCCCCAGGGTGGAGGTCAACCCGAAGGAACCCTCCCAGGAGTCGGGGGAAACCCCAAGAGCTGCCTGGCTCAAGTTTGCCCCAGAAGTTGACTCAGAGGGGCAGGGGGTCTTCCCCTCTTCTAGAGAGAGCTCAGAGGCCAATATTTACTAAAAAGAAAAAAAATACTACCAAATAGATTCAAAATATAATCTACAAGACATAGGTAGGATTTAACAATCAAGGCCAAAGGAAAAAAAAAAAAGAATTAAGGTAATAAACACCTGTGAACCTGTGAGTTTAGAAACAGTGACAGTAGTCTTTCCGGTCTCACCCCGACCCGCACCGCGGGTTTTGGGTTGTTATTCCCTCGCTGGAGACACAGGCCTCTTCTCGCCGTCAAGTTGCTGGCGGGGCCAGAGCGGCTCAGTGCTGCCCCCTGGCGGCGAGGGGGACAGCGACTTCCTTCCGCTCCGCGCCGCCGCAGCCCGGGTTGGAGTCCCCGCCAGGTCACCCTGCAGACACCACGGAGGTGCACACACTCGCTGTGCACGCACGCGCAGGACCCGTCCGGGCACAGATGCACACATCAGGCACTCAAAGCTTTGCACGTCGACGCGGTCAACCTATTGTGAACGGGGCAAGTGCCATACGCTGTGTGGGGCGCTTCAGCAGGAGCCAGCCCACAGCAGCTGCTGTCCCCAGGGAGCTGGTGGCAGGAAAGGGGGGGAGGTTCCCCACAGAGGGGACAGTGCCCTGCCTCAGGGACCCTCTCACTCTCCGCTGGGGGAGTCTGGGCAGGAAGTAACTTTAGGGTGAGCCATTTAACAGAACGACCTAAGGTGGAGGGGAGAGAGGAGAGCTTTGTGCCAGAGGCAGAGGAGGGATTTTTGGAGATGAACTCAGGGAGAGGCAGAGTGAAATGTACAGTTCAGTTTTAACAAGGAATTTCGCGTCCACTGGCGTGGAAGGGACACAGTGGCCCAGCCTGGGTCCCTGGTGCTATGGGGTTCGTGGGACTAGAGGAGGCGCTGAAGATGGTGAGGAGGGGCCAGGTCCCTGGAGAAGGCACCGGATGTGAAGCGCAGGTAGAGGATGTCTTGAGTTTCACGGTCTGCAATCGCAGGCAGCAAGCACCTTTCGGGACTGCACGGCAGAGACGCGCGACCCAAGGTAGCCAGCAGAGGGCGCTCCTGCTACAGATTTGAGGCTCCAGTGGGCGGGTTATTGAGCCTCGGGTTTAAGCAGTATCAAATCATTCTTGGAAAGCGCCGGGGTCTGCAGTCCGAATGGAAACATTCTGGCTTCCCTCTTAGGGGTACGGAGCAGAGGGGTGAGAAGAAACAACCACGTGAGGTGGGAGCCCCACAAGTCCCCCGCTCCCTGGCCAGGTGCTGTCTAGTCAGTGTTTGCATCTGTTGTCTCCAGGTGGCGACCTTGGCATCAATCCAGAAAGGCAACTTGTTCTCCCAACCTGCTCAGGAAGTCTTCCTTCAGGCCAGCCGGCTTTTCTAGAAGGTTCTCCAGGGAGCTAGTCCCAGGGCTCCGCCTCTGGAGTCTCCGCGCTTCCCTCGCTTGCCTCTAGATGGAAGACTTCCTCGCCTGGTGCCCAGCAGGCTCCCCCAGCGGCCACATCCACCAAACCTGTGGGTGCTAGAATTCTCAGAACCAAATGCAAACCTTGTCTTCTGCCACAAAGCATGACGGGCCTCTGTGTGACTGGTGAGTGGACACAGCCAGATCCCGCTGGCTCAGACGAGGGGGCAACCGTCAGTCCCTTAGTGGTGGTAGTGGCACCTCCTTCCACCCCGTCATCTCCACTCAGGCAGAGGTACCTGGAGCTCAGGTCATTCACATATTATTCCTTTCTGCAGTTATCAAGCGTCATTTGCTATGTCCGTTTTTGGGGACAGAGACGAGGAGGCAGGGTCCCTTAGAGGAGGAGACAGGAAATAGATGTGACCACGCAGGGTGGTATGTACTTCGAGGAGAATTGTTTTCTTTCTCTGAACCCTACTTTTCTGTCTGGCTTCTCTGACAGAGTCAGTGGCATCATTACCACCCATCTGCTCAACCCGAAAATGCAGAGTCATCTCCATGCTTCCCCCACTCAGCCCCATCTCCCTTTCGGCCACTGAGTCCCATCTCACCCTCATCATCTCTCTCCCGCCATCCTTTCAGCCTTGGGGCTGGCCTTTGGCCCCCTTCCAGCTTTCACATCGCCACCAAAGTGATCCCTTCTTCAAACTCCCTGATGCCCAGACTCATAAGAGAAAAATTTTAGTGTACGTGACCTAAGGGAAATCATTTGTTTGAGGAAAAAACACTAAACAAAGTTGGAAGAACAATGGCCAACTGAGAAAAGACATTTGTAACTCATGTAGGAAAGGCCTTCTTCCCACAATGACCAAAGCTCACATCAGCCAGCAAGGATAAGATCCCACAGGGGGAATAAAAGGTAAAGAGTAGTAACGTCTAGCTCATAAAAAACAGGAAGGGAGCTCTCTTTGGCACTGCATATACTAAAATTGGAATAATATGGAAAAGGTCAGCATGGCTCCTTGCAAGGATGCATGCAAGTTCATGAAGTGTTACATATTTAAAAAAAAATTATACACATGAACTTATTTAGAAAACAGACTCACAAACTTTGAAAACAAACTTAGAGTTGCCAAAGGGAAAATGTGGTGGTGGGGGGAATAAAATAGGAAATTGGAATGAAAGTATACACACTGCTATATATATGATAGACCATCAACAAGGACCTGTTGTATAGGACTGGAAAATCTACTCAAGATTCTGTAATAATCTATATGGGAAAAGATTCTGGAAAAGAATGGATATGTGTGAATGTACAAATGGATCGCTTTTCTGTACATCTGAAACTAACACAGCATTGTAAATCAACTATACTCCAATATAAAATAAAAATTAAAAAAAAAACAAAAAAGAATAAAAAAACTTAGGGAATGATGTTCAGTCTCACTCAAGATTAAAGAAGTGGAAATTGAAGCAACAGAGAGAACTTTTTCAACCGTTGAAAGGACAAAACTTGAAAAATAGCAACAAACTTCAAAGTTCAATGAGACCTAGTGCTGATGGACATGGTGAGGGAAATATTCTCATTCATGGTGGGTGGGAATGAAAATGTGTGGAACTTTTAAGGAAGACTTGGAGGGGGAAGATCCATGATGTACAGGGCACTGGGCCTGCCTGGGCCTTTTAAAAGAAAAATTTCAAATTCAAATTTCAATTTCAAATATACATGAAAGTAGACAGGATGGCAGAACAACGTCCCATATGCCCATCAGTTCAGTTCAGTCGCTCAGCCGTGTCCGACTCTTTGTGACCCCATGGACTGCAGCATGCCAGGCTTCCCTGTCCATCACCAACTCCCTGAGCTTGCTCAAACTCATGTCCATCATCGAGTCGGTGATGCCATCCAACCATCTCATCCTCTGTCGTCCCCTCCCTCGTCCCCTTCAATCTTTCCCAGCATCAAGGTCTTTTCCAATGAGTCAGTTCTTCCCATCAGGTGGCCAAAGTATTGGAGCTTTCAGCTTCAGCATCAGTCCTTCCAGTGAATTTTAAGGACTGAATATTCATATTCATAATATGAATATTATTTATCACTCAGCTTCAGTAATCGTCAACTTGCTGCCATTCCTTTTTTCTTTTTTAATATTTTATTTTAATATTTTAAAATTGAAATATTGTTGATTTATAATGTGTTCATTTTTGCAGTACAGCAAAGGATCAGTTATACATGTATATACATTCCTTTTAAAATACTCATTTTCATTATGGTTTATCATAGGGTTTTTTTTTTTTTTTTTGGCTGAGCTGGGTCTTCCTTGTAGCAGCAGCGCCCAGACTTGGTTGCCCTATGACGTGTAGAATGTTGGTTCCCCGATCAGGGACTGAACCCATGATCCCTACGTTGGAAGGAGGATTCTTAATCTCTGGCCTGCCAGGGAAGTCCCTATCATAGGATATGGAATATAGTTCTCTCTGTTATACAGTAGGACCTTGTTTATCCACTCTCTATATATAAAAGCTTACGTCTGTGAGCCCCAGCCTCCTTCTCATCCCTCCCCTGACCCCCTTCCCCTTGGCAACCACTGGTCTGTTTTCTGTGTCCACGGACATGCTGCCATTCTTGTTCCTTCTCTCTCCTCCACCACCTTTTGTTGGGGAGACTGGCGTATTGTAAAGCAAAGATATAATTTCATTCACCTTGAATGAAAATTTTGCAATAGCCATCAAAAGAAAAACACGGATTTACCCTTTCATCCAGTAATCCCACTGTTAAAATTCCCTTAAGAATATATTGGTAAAAGTTCACCAGGCTAGATGTTCAGGCAGGTTTATTATATCATTGTTCGTGAGAAGGAAAAAATTCCTGGATGCCTGAGCGGAGGTTGGGAGGGACAGGAGTGAATGAATTATAGCTCACGGTCACGATGGATTAAAGAGAGTGAGGTGGCTCTCCAGGAGATACTATTAACTGAAAGATTGTGGTATTATTAACTGGGAAATGGAGGCATTGAGGAGATCGATCATATTCCTTTGTATGATTAAAATCTCTATAAACAGACAAAAACAAAATGAAACATCATAGCAATGCTTGGATGACTGTTGCTACAGGATCAAGTCCAAACTCTTCAGCACACCGTTCATGGTGGTATCTCTTTTCAACCTTCATTCTAGCCATTTCTCCCACTAAAAAGCCCTATGAGTTGGTCCATAGATTCCCAAGATGGGTTCCAAGGAACTCTACCTTCACCTGCTCCTCCTGGAAGGGGCTTCATGGCGATTAAGTTTGGGAAATGCTGTCTTCTCCTTGGAGAGTCACAGCGCACATTAGCTTGTTGAAGGCTCTGGGAAGTTCACAGTCAAACAAACAAAAACTGCTTGACCAGGATATACATGCCTTGCTCTGGTCCCCCCAGACTCTGGAGCATGGTTTTCAGCCCTGGCTTTCATCAGGGCTTCCCTGGAGGCTCAGCTGGTAAAAGAATCCTCCTGCAATGCGGGAGACCTGGGTTTGATCCCTGGGTTGGGAAGATCCCCTGGAAAAGGGAACGGCTACCCACTCCAGTATTCTGGCCTGGAGATTTCCATGGACAGAGGAGCCTGGCGAGCTACAGTCCATGGGGTTGCAGAGTCAGACATGACTGAGCTATTTCACTTCACTTTACTTCACCGGCTCTGTGAGGAAAGGAGGAGGGCCACTACCCTGTGGGGGCTCCTGCCCTTTGCTGAGCTTACGTAGTCCCGCCTCTCCTCTGCTAACCACCACCCCCTCTCCCCCAACCATGCTAACACTTCTAGTTCCCTAAGAAAGGAGTGTTTTAGTCCAGCCCCAGGGCCTTTGCTCTAGCTCTTACCTTGGCCTGGGAATGCCTTCCCCTGCATGTGCTGGCTCCTTCCTTAATTCAGTTTCCCCTTAAACGTCACCTAGGAGAGGCCTTCCTGCCCTGGTCCCTGGAAGCACTAAATTTTCTTTTCATGCTTCCACGGAGAACATCTCTTTCTCTGGTTTGACTATTTTCCATCTTTCCTACCAGAGTGTCTGCTCCATGAAAGCAAAGACGTCTTTTGTGTTCATCACCATATCCCCAGAGCCTAGGGATAGCTCAGCACACAGTAGGTGCTCAACTAACAGTAGCCAATCAAACGTGTTTCCTTTGAGATTTGCTTTTCTTGGCGTTCCTTTTGCTCCCCGAGAACAGTGATCCAGCGGCAAGTCTCCTGGTCCCCACCCACCTCTGCTTGGATGTGTTCTCACCTCATCTCCTCTGCCTGGCAAAGCCCCGCCCTGGCTTTGAAACCTGGCTTTGTGGTCCCTCCCCGTGAAACCATCAGCAGCAGCCTGGAGTGAATGAGTCGCTCCCTCCTGCTCCTCCCAGGCGCTTGAACACACACACCTTCATCACCGCACAATAACATGGCGCCGGGATGGACCGCGTGTCCATCTCTTGCTTACCTGCCTGTGCTCATTAAGGGCAGGGCTCAGCTGACTCAGTGCTGAGTTCTTGGCACCCTGCCCAGGGACGGCCCCACCATGGATGCGATGAATGGGTGCCGAGGAAGAGCCCGGCATCGGGCACTTGCTGTCTGCATCCAGCAAGCCAGCATCGATTGGGCACTTCCTGTGCATAAAGTGCCAAGTTAGACCTTAGAGTGGGTTCAGAGATGAACAGAAAGCCGTCTTTTGGCTGTGCGTGCATGCTCAGTCGCTTCAGTTGTGTCTGACTCTTTGTGACGGTAGCCCTCCAGGCTCCTCTGTCCATGGGATTCTCCAGGCAGGAATACTGGAGTGGGTTGCCATGCTCTTCTCAGGGGATCTTCTCCACTCAGGGATCAAATTCGAGTCTTCTGTGTCTCCTGCATTGCAGGCAGATTCTTTTACTGCTGAGCTCTTGGGGAAGCCCTCATTTGGCTGTAAAGGATTATAATTCTAGAAGGGGAGCAGATCTACCTCCAAATATTAATGATTCTAACATGAGTGACAGCGGCTAGCATTCTGGTGCTAGAATAGGTGAGGGGGAGTGTATTAGTTTCCTATTGTTGTTGGACAAAATTACAGTTTTATTTTATTTTTTTGCTACTTTTTAATTTTATTTTATTTTTGTAAATTAATTTATTTTAATTGGGAGCTAATTACTTTACAACATTGTAGTGTTTTTTTTTGCCAT